ACTTTGCCAGACATTAGTGTGCCTTTGGGTTGTTAAGTTACTGGCTGGTATGAATACCGTGCAATAGTTTGAGATGTCTGCCTTGTGCCAAGCTAACCAACACTTCACTCATCATCTTCTTCTCTGGCTATTTTGTTCAATTTTTACTCCTATTCAATCTTAAGCCACCTGTCTGTTTCTACTATAGTAGTCAAATAATCAAGAAATAGATGTTTCACCATTTTAGGAAGTAGGGTATGAGCAAAAACCAATGTGCTGAAGGAGAAGTTCAAAGTGCACTGGAAGTATTAACCAAAAATAAGCACCAGGAATGGATTAGATACTAACTGAAAGATTTCTAAAAGCTGATGAAGGACTGGAAGCACTATGCCAGGAGATTTCGGAGACAACTACTTGGCAAACTGACTGGAAGAGATCCAAATGTGTGCCCATCCCAAAGAAAGGTGACCCAACAGTATTTTCCAGGTATAGACCAGTATCAGTGTTATCACATGAAAGTAAAATTCTGCTGAAGATCATCTCACAATGGTTTCAGCAGTATATTGACAGGGAGCTGCCAGAGAGGTTCAGGCAGATTCAGAAGATGACATTATTGCTGATATCAGAAGGATCTTGGCCTAAAGAAGCGAATACCAGAAGATGTTTTGTTTACTTGTGCTTTATTGACTATGCAAAGTAATTGGACTGTGTGGATTGATCAAAACCAATTATTGATAACTTTGAGGAGAATGGGAATTCCAGAACTCTTTATTTTGCTCCTGTAGAACTTGAACATGTGACAGTTGTGGGAACAGAGCAAGGAAATACTGCAATGGTCTAAAATCAGGAAAGGAAATAAAAAATAAATCAGGAAAGATGTGCATTAGGGCTGTATTCTCCTGCCACAGTTGTTCAATCTTATGCTAAGCAAATAATCATGGAAGCTGGCTTATATGATGAAGAATGTCTCATCAGGATTGGAGGAAGTCTCATTGTCAACTTTCAATATGCAGATGAAACAACCTTGCTTACTAAAAGTAAGGAGGACTGGCTGATAAAGATCAAGGATTTCAGCCTCCAGTATGAATTCTTACTCAATGTAAAGAAAACAAAAATCATCTTGAACAATAGGTAACATCATGGTAAATGGAGAAAGAAATGAAGTTGCCAAGGATTTTTTTCTTGCTTGGGTTCACAATCTATGTTCATAGAACAGTCAAGATATCAATAGGTGCATTGTATTCGTAAAATATTTTGCATAAGACCTCTTTAGAGTATTGAAAAGCAAGGATGTTTCTTTGAGGACTATGGTGCTCCTGACTCAAGCCACAGTATCTTCAATGCCCTGAAATTCATGTGATATTTGGATATTGAATACAGAAAACTGAAGAAGAATCAAGGCATTTGAGCTGTGGTGCTAGAGAAGAATGTTGAAATTACTATGGACTACTAAAAGGACAAACCAATCTGTCTTGGAAGAAGTATGGCCCGAGAGTTACTTAGAGGCAAGGATCACAAGACTTCATCTCATATATATCTCATGTATTTTGGAAATGTTTTCAGGAGAGACCAGTCCCTAGAGAAGGACATCATGTTTAGTAGAGGGGCAGTGAAGAAGAGAAATACCCTCAAGGAAGTGGATTAACACAATGGCTGAAATAGTGAGCTCAAGCATAGGAGCAATTGTGAAGAAGATGCAGAACTAGGTAGTTTTTTGTTTTGTTTTTCTGTTGTGCATAAGGTCACCATTGCTTGGAATCAACTCAATGGCATTTAATAACAGCAACAACAACAATCTCTAAGGCAAAGCTCAGGCTTCAAGGATTCTTATCTTTATCTCTGTCATTAGTTCTCTTGTATCTGTTTTTGAGAGGGTCTATGTAAGACAGTTGTCTAATGTACCATGTTGGTGGAAGTACAGACATTCAATATTGACATTATTTATCATTTTCTGAAATGATATAATGTATGTGATAAAGTATTTCAATTTGTGTTTCAGTTCATACATGCACAGGTTTGTTCCAAACAAAATATGTTTAAACATGTCTCTGCAATCAGTAATTAGCTACAAATAATCCCCTCCCCTATTCCTGCCCCACCACCCCACCATAATACACTAATCTTGGTCTTGTTAAGGAACTCTGGTAGCATAGTGGTTACATGATGGGCATCTAACTCTTTGGTCAGCAGTTTGAAACCACCAATGGATCCTTGGGAGAAAAGAGGCTTTCTACTCCCACAAGAAGTTATTATAGTCTTGGAAACCCACAAAAGCCCTGTTCTGTAGGGTCACTATGAGTTGGAAATGAATCAGTATCAATGAGTTTGGTTTGGTTTTTATTCTTGTTAGGGGGTCCTCAAAAAAGAGTTCATTCAAGGTAGGTGATTCTGAGGTATAAAGGCTCAGAATGTTATAGTGACTGTTTTGGGGGGGGACACCAAGGGAATAATCTAGGTATATTTTCTTGAAGAACATGGGTTGATCACAGGGGTTAATAAGATGGAAATATTGCCTTAAGATGTGCACACATCTTGAAAGTGGATATGTTGTGAAATAATACCTTCATATTTTGATATTTAAAAAATAAAATATAAAATTTTATAGGAATACTTTTTGACTTATTTCAATATTATTTGTACCATTGATATTTTCTTTATTTTTTGTTTTTCTTATTATTTGTCTTTTCTAAAGATAAGCTTCATAAAATCACGTTTTTTGAACTCTGTACACAGATGTGTTCTTGTTTCTTAGAACGATGCCTTGCACATTGTAGGTGTACATTAATTGAGTGGAGGCAACTGATAATGTACAAAGGCGATAGAAAATAGTAATTTAGATCAGGTATTGGCAAACTAAAGTCTGAGTATCAAATCTAGCCCTTCACCTGTGTTTTAAATGCAGTTTTTTTTGTTTGTTTATTTATTTAATAGAAGTAGCAACCTGACCTGAGTCTGATCAAACTAATATATATGTGTGTGCATATCTATATATTAATGAATATATTGATATTCAATATGATAGTTTACTTTGTTTTTGATAATAAGTACAACACAGACATATGCCAATTCAATAGTTTCTACATGTAAATTCAGTGCCAGTTAGGTTCTTAAGTTCTGTAGTGTAAGGTGTGAAATTGTTAATCATGAAACAAAGAACCCAAACGATTGAAGATTTTGAAACATTACTGTTAATTTGGGTAAGTCAAAAACAACTCACAATACCATATCCCAGACAGTTTTATGCAAGAAGTATAACAGTCTCCACAGTGAATTTATAAATGTAATTTTGGGGCCTCAGAACAAATTATTTGGTTTTCAATTATTTCTTATGGGAAAAATATGTTCAGTGCTCAAACTTGGCAGCATTCAAACAAAATCTGGCACCCACTGAGTTGGAAAACAAGGTATGACTGTGTTTCAAATTGCTACTGTCAATCTGATTCTGTCTGATGTCATTGGTAGGTGTCATTAAGTTTGCTGTGATTCATGGTGACCATGAGCACAACAGAAGGAAATAATGCATGGTTTTGCATCAGGTTCATAATGATGGCTATTTTGTAGCTGATTGTTGTGGGCATTGTTTCAATCCATCTGGTTTAGGGTCATTTTCTTTTTTGCTAACCCTACCTTGCTTAATCTTTGGTCTTTCTTTTTCATGGTTTTGTTTTATCATGCATATGAGGCAATTAACAATACCATGGCTTGGGTCAGATCACCTTAAACCTAAAAAGGCATCTTTTATTTTCAGTTTATTAAATGATATTTTGCAGCAGATTTTCCCACTGTAAAGTTTTATTTGATTTTCTGATTTCCATGGTTATTTACTATGATTCCAAGTAAAATTAACTCCTTGACAAATTTTAAATCTTTTTTTCTAGCTTATTGGTCCATCTGTGAGGATTTTTTGTTTCATAATAAAGAGGGATAGACCATGTTTAAGGCTCTTGTCCTTGATATCTATCAGTAAATGCTTCAAGTCTTCATCACCTCAGTAAGCAAAGTGATGTCATGTCATCTGGATATTACCAGTTGTTTATAAGTGTTCCTCCAGTTATGATGCCACAGCATTCTTTCATAGTCAAGTTTCTCAAATTATTTTCATAGCATATAGTTTGATTAAGTCTAGTGAAAAGAAACAACCCTCATGCACCTCTTTCCTGATTTTCAGTAATACAGTGTCCCTCTATTCTGGTCCAATGAGTGCCTCTACCTCCTCTACATAGATACATGGAAGCTTCAAATCCTCATGAAAACTCCATTATTTTCTCATTCCATTTCACATGAACGTTTTGAAGTCCCTTCATAACCATGAGTGTGCTTCAAAAAGTAATGGAAAATGGAATGAAAAGATTATGAGAGGAAAAATAAAAGCAAGGGAAAAATTGGAAGTAAAAAATTATGGAATTTTCCACAAACTTTTAAAAATTCCCTTGTGTGCACCCACTTTAGACAGCTTGCTATTGATGGATGATGCATTTGAAAGTTTTACTTACCCCTCTCTTTAGTTAAGTATGCAGACATCTATAAGTTATACTCTTTGACTTGTCCTATCAAATTCTTCAGCTAAATAGAAAATCATGACAAAAATAAACATCCCCCTTTGTCACTTACCTCCTTTTTACTTCTCTAAGAGAGTCATATGCACTCCTGAGCCAGTGGGCTTAGGATGGCGTCTTATACTCTTTAATATACTGTTTTTAATTCAGGGTAGTGGTTCTCAACCTTCCTAATGCCGTCACCCTTTAATACAGTTCCTCATGTTGTGGTGACCACCCCCAACCATAAAATTATTTTCATCGCTACTTCATAACTGAAATCTTGCCACTGTTATGAACCAGGCGACCCCTGTGAAAGGGTCTTTCGACCCCCAAAGGGGTCATGACCCACAGGTTGAGAACTGCTGATTTAGGGTAATGTGTTTCACAAAGGTAAGATTTCCAGACCAATATTCTGATAATCCCACACTAGTACAATTTCAGAATAATGATAGCAAAGATTTTGAGTTTTCTTTTTCTTCCCAGGATTCATACCGGTCTGTAGCCTTGGTGTGGCTCAGGTGGGCAGGATGAACTTTGGCAAAGATGTCAGCACCTTGAAGTATTTCACCATCTGTGGCTTACAAGAGGGCTTTGAGCCATTTGCAGTGAATACAAATAGAGATATTACCATGTGGCTAAGCAAGAGACTTCCTCAATTTCTTCAAGTTCCATCAAACCATGAACATATTGAGGTTTGCTTTTCTTTAAAAAAGATACTCATGCCAAGATCCCTTGAGTGGGCTGTCTTTAGGATTTCCACTTGTACGATTATAAAAATTTATTTAAAATGTTGACCTTATTGTATTACATAAATATGAGATGTAAGCACATTATTAGTCTCTTATACTAAGTATATTGTGAGTAACTGAGCAATATGTTGATTAAGAATAATCAATTGCCTCTTTATATAGTTAATATCAGGACTAATCTGACTGCATCTAATTATATTATCTATTTCCCAAACGACCTTTTGAGTTAGCAGCAAAATTATGAATATATTTGTATCACCGGTGACCTCTGCTTTATAATCTATTTAACAAAACAAGCACATGTGTCAACAGTGTTTAGAATTCTGAGGGGACGATGTGCAGTTATCATCTTAGAGCTAAGAATCGAAAGTGGTCACTAGAATCTAAACTATTACTTCTTCATTTTCTAGGTGACCAGAATCGATGGTACCACAGACAATTCTCCATGTTTAAAGGTGACTCAGAAGTCCTTTGGGTCACAGAACAGTAACACTGATATCATGTTCTATCGTCTGAGCATGCCAATTGAGTGTGCAGAGGTCTTCTCCAAGACTGCTACAGGAGGGCTCCCTGGAGCCAGCTTTTTTGGGCCCAAGAATGACCTGGAGGATTTTGATGCAGATTCAGATTTTGAGGTTTTAATGAAGACAGCACATGGCCATCTAGTACCCGACCGGGTTGACAAAGAGAAAGAAACGACAAAATCAGAGTTTAATAACCATAAAGATTATGCTCAGGAAAAACCATCTCGTCTAAAACAAAGGTCATTACAATAATATACTATGATCTAAAATATTTAGTTATTATGTTGAGAGGGTTATGATAAAAAGTAAGAAAATTCCCAGTGTTAGTTTATTTCCTCTCCTCCTCTCCTCTTTTTGCAAGGTATTCTATAGAACAGCATGTGCAACCCCTTGATCATTTCAATTGTTAGCACTTATATAATCTATCCCAATAATTCATTTTAAAGACATCTATACCTATATTTACTTTTTGGGGGGGTTAACATTTACTGAACATTCTGTATGAATGGCATGTTTTATGATCAAGAATATGGGTTACTTTAAAGTACTTTCTTGCACTAAACTAGTGACACTCAGCATCAATACTGTCGGCATTTTTGATCAGAATATTTTATGTGGTAGGGGATGTCCTATACATTGTAAGACATTTGGAAAAATAAAAGCTAATTGCACCCTTTTCCAGTGACAATCAAAATGTTTTAGGCATTGGCAAGCATTCCTAGTTTACTTTATTTAATTGATTAATACTTATATTTGAAGTAGACAGAGCTTTTAACATTATGTATTCCTGGTCCTCTAATAATTTCAGATTTTTGCTTAGAAGAACAAAGCCAGATTATAGCACAAGCCATTCAGCAAGACTCACTGAAGATGTCCTTGCTGATGATCGGGATGATTATGATTATTTAATGCAAACATCTATGGTATGCAGTTAAAACATTTTGCCTTTATTTTTGTTTTTGACTATTATAAGTACATTTTGAACAGTTCAATTTTCTTCATAGTATTTAGTAGGTTTACTTTAAAAATAACTAGTTACATTTAAGAATTATTTTTAGAATTAAAGTTGAGTATACATGTCTAACGTGTTTATGTGAGTATTGGTGTAAAATGACCATTATCAGCCACAATAACCTTCTGAACTGACTTCGCTCTCATAAATTTAACTGGCTCAAAGCCACTTCCTGTTTGTGTTATTTTTTGTTTAAAACCACCATAACATAACTGAGATAGTGCATTACCGAGATAACTTGCCTGCAGCCATCCACTGATGAAAGTCATGTTTGGTAAAAGAGCCTGTATAAAAATAGAGGGGGACCTACAAGGAGATGGATTCACATGGTGGATGTAACAATAAGCTCAAACATAACAATGATTTTGAGGATGGCGCAGGGGCAGGTGGTGTTTCATTCTGTTGTACTGTGGGTTTCTTTGAGTCACAACCAACTCTATGGCACCTAACCACAAGACATATATATATATGCAAATAGACAATACACACATATAAGTCACATACATATACATGCTTATGTACCTGGAAATATGAAAAGTAATTTAGTATATTATTCAGATATCTTCCATTATTTCCAAGTTCTTTATTATAAGCCTCTCCTCATTTTGTAATAGCAATAATTCTAAACAAACAATAGATTGTTTGGTTGCATGGACCTACAACTGTTCAACTTTGTTTTCCTCCTTGCCAACATTTTGTCCTTCCTCTTTTGACAGTACTATTACTCTGTGAGAATCTTTCCTGGACAAGAACCTGCTAATGTCTGGGTAGGCTGGATTACATCAGATTTCCATCAATATGATACTGGCTTTGACTTGGACAGAGTCCGTACAGTAACAGTTACTTTAGGAGATGAAAAAGGAAAAGTTCATGAAAGGTTGGTCTTCCTTATTATTTTTACATGAGTGAAATCTGATAAAAATGTTGGAAATTCTAGATATTTTTCTCTTTGATTTCTTATGCAGGGTAATATTTCTATTTATGTGAGAAATAAAGTACAACCATAAATGTCAATGCCATTTCTATTACTCATACAAGCCAGTAAAGGGATCTGAATATATTAGAAATGGAAACAATTACCAAATAAGGGCAGTGCATCCTTTTTGGGTAATTACTATTGTATGTGTCTGATAATTTGGGTTACCAATACTTAGCCTTTTTGATGAATTAAATATGGGTGATAAAGGCATTTACTATATATATTATCTGATATGCATCTTGGGAAGCGGTTATGTGGTTGGGTAAAACACAGTGAAGACAAGGCGGGCTGGTAGTTTAGACCAGGTAGAAACATATGTACTCAGACTGAGGAGCAGTGGGTTCTTTCCTCAGCTTTGCCATTGACTCGCTGTGTGACTTTGGGTAAGTCAGTTAAACTTTCTGTGCCATCCTTTTTCATTTGTAAAACAAACCAAACTCAAACCAAACCTTCAAAAAAGTGAAGAAGGCTCTCTTTCTTGCAGAATGAGATAAGAGAAGATCTCAGTACTCACATCCACCTTTGGTGCCCAGTTATCCTCCCTGATCTGCTGTGACAGTTCTTATAGGAAGAGCCTGCCATGATGTTGTTTTACCTGTATCGCTGCACCACTGGTTTTGGTGATGCGTACACTAATGCTCCTGCCTTCTGGTTGTAATACTTGAGAAGCTTGAAGCCATGGCTTTGGAAAAAATCCTGAGTGAAGTGTAATTTATTTTAGAGTAGGATCAACAACAGCCAATTTCTAGGACATATCTCAGGGGTGCATTTGATTTTCACATATGGTGACAATTTCACAAATGACTCCATGAGGAGTCGGATGACTAACAGATGATCCTGGTGTAGGTTATAAAGGGTAGAAAGGGACAGTTGACACATATGTCAATCAAGCAAAGAAACACAGCTGAATTTGACTATTCAGAAACTGATTTTGTCTCAAATGCTTTTTCTTTAACTCCTGGTAAGGTTTAAAGTCAGTTGCAATTTGGTTACTCTCACCGACTTGAGTAGCACAAATACATCACCCTCCACGACTAACCAAAATGTTTGTGCTACAAACCGATTGATTATGTGTCATCTTGAAGACAGGACTCACAATCTGCTCCTGTATGGATCACAGCCAAGGAAATGCTCTGGCTCAGTTCAACTGTGTAGCACATGGCACATGCTTCGGTATCTATTCAACAATAGGCTTGGTCTCTCATAGCAGATCACTGAGAATTTCTATTAAGGGACATTAAATTTGGCCAAACTGTTATCATATTGAATGACTGTTGTAGAATTTGCCTAAGTACCTTGATGTGCTTGAAAACGAATGCTTCTCATCTCAGAGCAATAATAAAAACATGAGAATGTAATTGAATATTATTACTATTAATACATAGATATGAATATTATTGCATGGTTAAAACATGCCTCAGGAAAAATTGTTCTGTTTGGTTTGAGTTTTTTGAGGTAAGGGGCAGGTCAGTTCTTACTTGGTTCAAACTGGTTGACCTGTCTCCATTAGGTGTGGCATTTAGAGATGTGTAAGACCTGATTCAGAATTTCCACTGATAGCAATGGAGTTTTGTTCAGAGTCTCAGAATCAGGCCCATTTTTTTCTTTTCTTTTCTTTTTTTTTGTGCACCTGTCCCATTATAGCATGAGCTTGTTGCTTGCGTAGAATAATTTAGGTTTAGTTTGCAAAACATACATGTTTTCTAGTATATTTGTGGTTGTACAAATATAACATTGTTATTATTTTCTTAATTCAGCATTAAACGCAGCAACTGCTATATGGTGTGTGCGGGTGAGAGTATGAGCCCTGGGCAAGGTCGCAACAATAATGGATTGGAGATTGGCTGTGTGGTGGATGTTGCCAGTGGGTTGCTCACGTTCACTGCTAATGGCAAGGAATTGAGTACATATTACCAGGTATGTGTCCATTGATGGCATCATTCTTCCAGGGAGATTTAAAGCAAACACATTTTTAGGACCAAAAAATTAGGAGGAAATCATAAAAGAAATTACGTATCTCTGTATTTTTTTCTTTTTGAATAACAAGTGTCATTTCAGAGTTGAAAGAGTACATTTCTCAGAAATGTTCATTAGTAATGAAATGCTTTTGTATGTTTCAAAGAAGATGTCTGTATTACAGGAATTTAAAAAATCAGGGTCACATTCTATAAAAAAAACATTTTTTCTTTGCCTTTCTGACTTCCCTAATATTAAATTCATTTGTTTAAAAAGGTGGAGCCAAGCACAAAACTATTTCCTGCAGTTTTTGCACAAGCTACGAGTCCCAATGTTTTCCAGTTTGAGTTGGGAAGAATAAAGGTAAGAGATTCTTGGTATCTTATTTGTATTATTTTCTAATAGAATACAGCATTTTACTTCTGTAAGATTGAATTTACACTTTGAATGCTTATATGGGAATAAAATACATCGTTCTTAAAAAAGAAAAGTGTCCTTGTTTGAAAATTCTTTCATCTTTCTCAGGTCACTTGAATAGCATAATTAATTTGAAACAATTTTTTATCACAATAGTTATACACGCACACAAATATATATAATTTGACTTCTGTAAAATAGAAAATGCCAAATACACTTTAGTAAGCATTGAAATCATAGTTGAGTCAGTAAGTGGACGTGAAATTATGCTACACTTTGGTACTGGCATGTATTAAATTACTCTCAAAATAGAATGAAGAATAATTAAATTAGATGAGGTGGATCTGAGAAAATTAAAAGAAGAGATGACCTTTAGGCTGGTTTTAAATTGTTCAGTGGAAATTCAGATAACTGGGGAAATGGCATCCCAAACAAACAACAAGAGTAAAACATATTGAACGTTCAGTAATTGAAGCGACTGTGCCAAGGATGCCTTTTAGTGTGTGGTTGGAGATCACTGTGGACAAATGGGAGAAAAGTACAAGTTGTGAAGGTCTTATATATGAGGCAAAGAAGTCAGCACAATAATACAAACAATAACAAGTCTCTGGGCATTTAGTTTTAAAAAATTTTGTTGAGAATATGTACAGCAGAGCACACACACACTAATTGAACAATATCTACATTTTTAATTCAAGGATAGGGATTATATTTTTAAAATAGAGCATCCATGCTCACCCTCTTTTACTCAATTGTCCCTCCCCATTAGCATAAACTCACTTCCCTGAAGTTTCTCATCTAACTTTCAAGTTGTTATCAATTTGATCCTGTACAGATAGCTCTTAAAAGAGCACAATGCTAAGGCACATATTGTTTGCTAATTAAACTAAACTGTTGTTTGTTTTACAAAAGTTTTCTGAGGATACTTATGGTTTAAAGTTTATAGATTTTTGTCTCAGCGCAACAATTTCTGGGATTCCTCTGGAAATTTGAAGAAGTAAATTAAGCATAATGAAACATGTTTTGGAAAGATTTCTCGATGTAATAGTAGAGATGTATAATAAAAGTGCAGGCAGTAACAATCTGAGACATACTAAAATCTGTAAAGGACTGTTGGTGGTGCTCTAAGTAAGCTTTGGACGGCAAACAATCAAGTCAGCAGCCTAAACCCATCAAACGCTCCTCAGAAAAAGATGAGGCTACATGCTCCCAGAAAGGTTTACAACCCAGAAAACCTTATATAGGATAATTATGAGTTGGAATCAACATCTTAGCAGTAGGTAAGTTGTGGTAGTGCATAGTCTATATATATTATGGTGCCATGAAAGTATTAATGGAAAGAAAGTGATAAGCATGTAGATGCTTTAAAGGAAAAATTAATAGAATTTTTGAATTAGTAGGATGTATAGAGGACTGATAGTCATGTATTAAAGGCAACTGAAGACTCAAAATTTCTTTAAATGTTCTCATTTGGACAAACGGGAGACACTAATATAGTAAGAAGAAAATCTTCCTGTAATCCAGAAAGATTTTAAATATAATTTTTAAACTGCAAAAATTGAAGTGCCTGTCTTACATCATGGTGAATTTAGTTTATAATTTCTCTATGCTAGCTTAATTACTATATACATCTTTCTCAATTATGTGGACTTCAGTCTTCTCTTGTCAAATGAGGTTCTCAATTTGTTTTATATTCTTGTTAGATATAATATAAAAGAATATTTTCAATAATGTTTCATATAGTATCTACTCACTAATGTATATATAATATGTATCTCTAATACACATGTACATATAATACATATAGATATGTGCCAATAACTTCTTGTAGAAGAATTAATAACAAATTAGTCCCAAGAAGATGGAGATTAAAGATATCTTAAATGTCCAACTCTTTTGTGATATTATATACTGTTCCATTTCCCCTCCACTATTGCATTTAGTAAATTCCCCCACAGCCCTAGGTTCTTCAACTTGTTGCAATTTCTCACAGACACCCAGGACACTAAGAAAATGTCTCACATGGCTATAATCCAGAGCCAGAAGCCAAATATGTCCAAATGTCAAAGCAGGTGTTCTTGTTTCTACCAACATTCAGTCAGGAAAGAGAGGGAAGACTTTGATGGAGCGCAGTTTTTGTTTTTCAGCAGTCCATACTCCCAAGGAAAATGTAGTTCACAGCTTCTACAGGGGTAAACACTAAGGCTACATCCCACCTTAAGCTTGTGGTAATGAACTCCCTATAAAATGCGATTATAACTATAGGCATAGAGGCTAGACTTTATAGTACATCACAAAAAGGATTGTGGCTAGAAGGACCATATTAAGCAGTGGACTACAATCCAAGATATGTGAATCTAATTGTATTATTTTTAAAGAGGCCTATGCCAGAGATTAAAATTTTAGTCATCAATAAAAGAGATACACATAAGTTTGGGGAGTGAAATTGCTATCTCAGAATAAATTTAGAGAGTCAGGACAATATATAGTTAGAGCATGTAGTTGTATTAACTAAGAAAAAGGAACTTATAGGAGAACAGAAAAACAATGATCAAGAATGTAGAAGAAGAACTGGAGAACATATCTGTATGAAGGGCATGAGGGTGGCCATGCCTAATCTCCTGTGGCTTCCCTATTCCCATGAGGCAGGTTTCAGACATGCCTTTATTCTCCATCTTTCTTTACCTATTCTGGCACCAGTCCTTCCTCCCACAGCACTCTACATCTATGCTGTGTTCAATAATTAGTTGTAATGGTCACACAGAACTCAAAGACAAAACTCAAATTTTTAGAGGTTTATTAGGGAAGTGAATAAGGTACCACAAGTCAAGATCAATAAACAGAAAGGATATAGTCATTGGTTCACAGCAACAACTCCCCTCAGACAGCAACTATGTCTCTCTCAGGTCCCCAGCCTCTCAGCTTTGTGGATCACAATTCCATAGTTTCAGGGATGCTTCTTTGTTCTGCCTCTTTTTCCTTGCCCTGACCTCTGGTCTCTGCCTTGCTCCTTTGCTCTAGCCTAGAGTTTCCATAAGGAGCCCTGGTGGTATAGTGGTTATGTGTTGGGCTGCAATCCAAAAGGCCAGCAGTTGGAACCGCTAGCACCTCCACAGGAGAATACTTGGCTCTCTATTCCTGTAAATAGTTACAGTCTCAGAAACCAAGTGGGGCTACTATGAGTCAGCATTGATTCCCTGGCAATAAGTTATTTATTTATTTATTTGCTTGTTTGTTTGTTTCCATGTCACAGTCTCTGGAACCTCTAGCCTTGCCCTCTGATTCCAATGGTCCTAGGATTTCTCTCGCCTACTGCTGACATTGTTCATCCTTATAGCCAAGCCTCTCTATTAGACTTACACACACCCTAATTAAATGATCTCACCATCATTTTGTGGTAGTTACAGAGACATGCCTAGAAGAGTCCCATTAAGAAACTTCACTCCACCCCAGGTCACCCTCTTATCTAGCCCTGTCACTTTCATTTTTGAAAAACTAACTTCCCCACTCTTTCAGTTACACCTACTACAGTCACCATTTCACAACCACCATTAACCTTGTTGGCAACCACACCTAATGCCATCTCTCCCTAGCCCCATTAGGAACAGCGAAAAGTATTTAGTGGAAATCCTTCCCTGTTCTACTTATTTTGAGAATAACCACACTCCTGTGATTAGTAAACTAGTCACTCCATGTCTTTACCACTCCCCATGCCCTTACATTTCCTTATTCAATTTCTAAATTTACCGCCCTATAAACCCAATATTCTGAGGAGATAAGCCTGCTCTTTGATGTAAAGAATCTTCAACTAGTTGGAACTCTGGGTATCTACAGCCATGAACAAAGTCAGATCTAGAGGAGGGCATCCATCAGGTATGGAGGAAAGTGCATCAACTCACAAAGTCAAACTTCTCTTTATCTGATAGGGTTCTTATGAACTCAGCTCTAGCAGTTTCTTTTTTTTTTTTTTTTTCATCATTTTATTTAGGGCTCATACAACTCTTATCACAATCCAGACACACATCAATTGCGTAAAGCGCATTGGTATATTCATTGCCCTCATCATTCTGAAAACATTTTCTCTCCACTTAAACCCCCGGCATTAGGGCCTCATTTTTCCCCTCCCTCCCTGCTCCCCCCTTCCTCATGAGCCCTTGATAGTTTATAA